AAGCATCTTATTGACACTCCCAGACATGTGATGCTTCAGTGGTTTTGGAACCAGTCAAGCTGATAGGGCAGATCAACCATCAGAGTTTCTCCTCTGGAGATGGATTTTTTGGGAAAAGCCAGTTTCCTCTTTCATCGTGGCCATTATTAATGAGTCCCATCAAGCCCAGTTGCCCATACTGGAAGTAATTGCTGTGGAAACCTGTATCTTATTGGACCCTGCAGTTCTGCATCCAAGGATTGTATGTCACACAGGAGCATCAGAGAGTTCAGATGCTCTCAAATGGAAGAGACACTTATTCAGACAAGAGTTTCAGAAAGCAACCGTTACTAATGTAAAACAAAGGAAAATTTGTTTTTTTTTTTTCAATTGCTTGCCATCTTCACACCTAGAAGCATCTCACGGCAGGTCCACCAAGAACCCTGAGTACATATTATCAGCATGTGGGATGGGTGACCCAACACAACACTCCTGGTTGCCCCTCCAAAGGATATAAAGTTGGTATTTCTAAACGATACCAACACCTCAGTGTACCCTATAACACTGTTCACAATAGCCAAGAGACAGAAACAACCTAGTACCCAGCAATAGATGAGAGAACCAGTTAAATATATGCATCCACCATGGAATATTATTCAACCTCAAAAAGAACAGCAGTTCTGCCACCAGTGCTGACAAAGAGGAACCCAGAGGACATCATGTAAAATGAACTACATTAGGCACAGAATGGCAAACATCCCAAGGCTCCACACAGTCGATTCACCTTTAAAAGTTGATCCCGGAGAACTGAGGGCAGAATGTGCCACGGGGGTGAGGTAGAGAGTAGGGAGATGCTAGTGGGGGCAATTTCACCCTCTTGACTGTAACTAGAGACACTGAATACTTGGGAGCTGCTACAAGACTACTTCTTCATCTTCTCACACAGAAAACATTCAAGTCTGTGAGGCGAAAGGTTGATGGTCTTGATTTAACCATTACTCAGCTTAATTGCATGTTGATAGTCCCACAATAGGTTGCAGTGCATATAATTTTAAATAAATTTTCAATGCTAACTTAGGAAAGCAAGGAAAATCACAAGCAAAGTGAGAACAAATTCAGGGTTTTCACCAGTAGGAAAGGCAATTAGGGGGATCTCTAGGGATAATAAGGCCCAGGCATTGCCCATCAGAAACAGCAGGACACCTATTGAAGGTTCCACAGTTATGGTACCTTGTTTAGGTTTCTATTGCCATGACGGAATACCATGACCAAAACGACCTGTGTGGGTGATGGTTTGGCTTGCACTTCTACATCACAGACCATCATGGATGGATGTCAGGACAGGAACTGGGAGCAGGAATGAGATGCAGGAACTGAAGCAGAAGCCATGGAGGAACACCGCTTACTGACTTGTTCCTCATGGCTGGCTAAGCCTGCTTTCTTATACAACTCAGGAACCCCTGCCCATCGGTGACATTGGAAACTCTTACACATTACCAGGTTGGGCTCCCAACATGTAGTCCATCCTTGGTCACCTCTGGACCATAGCTTTTGTGTGCTGACTTTAGTGAAACACTTTCCTAAAGAGTTCACCTCTGATATTTTCTTCTTGATCACAGCTTAGCCCCTCCTGATCAGTATCAACGGTTCCAGAAAAAAAACAAAGGTTTCACTTTAACGATTGTGGACTCTTGTTAATCACAGCCAATTATGCAGCCCCAGCTGACCAGAACCACAGGTTCTTAACCCAAAATATTTTAACAGCCACAATAGAGTGTGGAAGGCCATTCCAACTTCTCTCTGAAACTTCATAAGCCAGAACTCCATTGTCTGCACTACTTCTGCATTATATTCTATGTTCTTAGAATAACCATTAAGTTCTGTGGTGGACTGAAGGAAAATGGCCCCAAAGGGAGTAACACTATTAGGAGGTGTGGCCTTTTTGGAGGAAGTGTGTCACTGTGGGGGTGGGCTTTGAGGTCTCTTTTTCTCAAGTTTCCCTCAGTGTGACAGTCAGTTGACTTCCTGTTGCCTGCAAGATGTAGCATTCTCAGCTCCAGCACCATGTCTACCTGCACACTGCCCCGCTCCCCATCATGATGATAATGGACTGAACCTCTGGAACTGTAAGCGATCCAAGCTCAATTAAATGTTTTCTTTATAAGAGTTGCCACAGTCATGGTGTCTCTCCACAGCAATAAAACCCCAAAGTAAGGCAAGCTTTGAATACTCAGTGTCTTTTCTAGTCCAAAGTACCAAAGTCCTTCCACAAATCCTCCACAAAACATGGTCAGGTCTGTCACAGCAATATTCCATGAATGTAGTACCAATTTCTGCCATAGTTAGGTTTCTATTATTGTGACAGAACACCATGACCAAAAGGGACGAAAGGATTTATTTGGCTTACTCTTCCACAACACAGTCCATCACAGAAGGTTGTCAGGACAGTAACTAAAGCAGGAACCTAGAGGCAAGAGCTGAAGAAGCCACAGAAGAATTCTGTTTACTGGCTTGAGGACAACGGTCTGCTATGCTATACAACCCAGGAGCACCAGCCCAAGGACATCACTTCCTACAGTGAGCAGGGCCCTTCCACATCAATCAGTAATCAAGATGCCCTACAGAGTTTCCCACAGACATTGTGGCTTTTCTGCATTTGAGGTTCTTCTTCCAAAGAACTCTAACTTCTGTCAAGTTGACAAGAACCCTAACAAACACACAGGGGGACTGAAGGTGGGGCTGGGGTCCTGAGCTTCAGAGAGGGCTCCCTGAACAACCACTTCTCCTCGGAGCCTAACAGTGCTGCACAGGCACAGACTCACCCTCCTTCAGATCCCCAGAGAGCCACTGTGTTTTTCCTAAACCTGTGACCTTCAAAAAGGACCCATGGGAGAACCTGGAAATCAGCAATCACCACAGCCCCCTGCTTCTTTGGTCCTAAAGCCCAGAACCATATTCATAATGACAAGTGGAAATCTATCTCTGAACAGCATGGGGCTGAGAACAGTGAACTTGTGTTTATCATGTGTTACAATGTTACTAGAGAGATGGAAATGGAGGGGAGGAGACATAGGCATACTGTGCTCCTATAGTTCTGTGAGTAGTGGCTCGCCTATGGAGACAATGAAGTCTTGTCGGAGGAGTCCAGGAGCACAAGATAGTTCAGACACTGGGGGATGGGTACTATTTGGCTCCAAATATGAAATATTGTTACATGTTACAAGACAGAATAATCCTAAAGACATTATGCTGAGTGAAACAGGCTAGTTGCTTAAAGACAAACAGTATGATTTCACATATTAAAGTTCTCAAGCACAGATAAATCCATAGCAACAGAAAATAGGATGGTGGATCCTGGTGCTGTTGAATGGGGACATAGTTTCCGTTTGGGACAAGTGGTAAACTCCATAGACACACAGGGGTGGCAGTTGCATACTGTGAGTGTATCATGCCCTAAGCTCTATAACAACAAGGAGAATCAATGGGAGTGGTCAATCCTGTTCCATTTCTAGCATCATGAAGTGCTTCCTAACCCAGCAACCCAACCTGTGCAACTTTCTCAGTGCAATAACCACCCAGCTCCAGCCTCAGCATCACTCTCTGTGATTCTGGGATAAGCTAACTCTTCTTGCCTAAGGCAAGCACTGGCTCCTGGCTTTCCTGAGATCTATACCCTAGTTCGTGTGCTAAGGTTGGGTTCTTGATGCTCTGCCTCCATACCTGTCCCTGGAGGCCAATGCACTAAGCCACAAGCTCCTGCCACCTAGAAAACTGGTCCTTGGGGGAAAATTCCTACCTGTTCTGGCTGTCACTGGGAAAAGTGGGAATGGCTGCCATAATAGCATTGAACGCCTGGTTTCAATGAGAAAGACTGTGTATCTGACGCTCTTCCGGCAGGCTCTAGAGACCCCTACCACCGTGAGTTATGCAGTCACACTGTTGTAGACTTAGACACCCACTCAATGAGTTTAAGTTAAAAAGTAAACTGTTCTGGAATGTGGAGGAGACACTAAAAGATGCCACAGTTCATGCTCCCCGGGTATCCAAAGTCACTTTATGTCAATCAGACAAGAGCCACAGTCCTATATGTGGTGGTCTGAAGAAAACCAAGAAAAATCCCTATTTTAAGATTTGTCGAGATTGGGTATGATGGCTCACGTCTATAAATCCCAGCACTCTGGAGCTTATGGTAGGAATACTCTATGCTGAGGCTAGCCTGGGATATAGTATAAAACTTGTCTCAAGCAAACAAACAAGCTGAGGCTACTTTTAAGACCTATCTGTCTGGAGTCCTTCAGGGAGCACGTGACCCCGCAGGTCTGCACGTGGTATATGAGGGAGGACAGAGAACCTGAAGCCACACAAGGGTTCTTCGGCTGATGTTTGCTGTTGCATTTACTCAACTTTCTGCATCTCTGATAGTGGTGGCTGCCCTGATGAGTGGAAAGATAACTCCCTGCCAACTGACCAGCCACCCAAAGATGCACCAGCCCCTTGTACTGGAATTGACATCAAATGCTATTCCCACATGAGACTGAGCTGAGCACTTGGGGAGGAGAGGGCAACGGTTACTCTTGTTCTCCAAGACAGAAAGGACCCGATGAACCAGCATCTGCCTCAGCCTGTGTCATGCTGGCCCAAGGGCATCCACTCCTTCCAGTGAAGGGTGGAACTGTTTGTTGGCTTCCTTAGGACAAACAGGGGCAGGTTCCAGCCCACAGTTAGTGGGTTTTTTTTTCTTTTTTCTTTTTGTTCCTTCTGCATGCAGCCTCTGCATTGTTATGTCTTTCACCTATCAACATGAAGGTCCAGGAAAGCCTCTTCTCATGAGGGATTCACAAGTTGCTTACTATTGTAAAAACATCAACACGGCTTCTTGCTTCTCACTGGTACCATCTCTCAGGCCAGATGCGTTTAACAAGTTTAGTATGAGTTTCCCAGTGATGGGGTGTGGCACAGTGAGCGAGACTCTGAGCAGTCATTGCAACCTCCCAACCCACCCGCCAGTGGCTTTACTTTACCTATGTCCTCTTCTGCTGGTCCTGGGAAGCTGAGGCCCGGCTGGACCAAGTCTCCTCCTTCTTCCTCTGCAAGACACAAGAGAAGACATGCTTACTATTGTCCCACTGAAGGTGCAGTCATCCCCACGCCAGAGACACTTGACAGTCCGTGTGGTTCACACACGAAGACATGTCTCTGTTTCTTCTAATATCAGTGCTCAGAGATCAGTGTTTTGTACTGACAACCTCAGAGCAAACTGTTCCTTTCCGTAACAGCCCCAAGATCCCACATGTGCCCCTTTCCTCCTTGAGGTCCCCGCACAGACAGCTTTTGCAAACACACCTCAGCTTCCCTGTATAACTCTGGGACTTATTTGATCTTGTTAGCATCGGGATAGGCTGTTGAGATGTCTGAGTCACCCTCCAAGAGAAGCCGCTGCTCTAGTGATCACGGTCGTACGCATGCCATTCTTTCACGCTCAAAGACTGCAGTGGCTGCTGCAATGTTTCCTGTGAGTTCATTCTGGGTGGGGCTTGCTGGGGCATCAGTTTCCCCTCTGGTGAGAGGCCAGCCCAGGCCCCTACACTCACTTTTAGTTGCTTTCTCTAGTTGGTGCAGCCAAGACACTGCTGTGCTAGCATGGATTACCACACGGTCATGACACAGGTGCCACGTCAACTCTCTGCCCTGCATATATGAGGACACTGAGGGGGAAGTGAATGGACATGTGTTCTCATCCAGTCTGAACCCAGGGATCTGGACTAGGTGTCTGGACCCCACCTCCGTGTCTGCACAGCACTCCAGGGTCTGGTTTCAGGAGCTGTCATGCACCCATATGTGCTGATTTCAGTACCTGGCTGTCCTGCGATTGGCAGCATACAGTACTCATCTAAACACGGAGATACAGCTCAGACAGAGGCTGTCCTGTACCACACCACACACATATAATGTGTGTATCAACATTACGGCATCCTGTATATACAGAAGTATCCACCATCATGTTATTCAGGCATACATTTAAAAACAGAATTGCATGTTTAAACTCCAGTGTTAGTGCATTCATGGAGGGCTTTGACATTGGTGGGGAGGTGAAGGCGTAAGTCACAGACAATCCCACACCAGTTTGGAATTATGATTAATAGAATGGTTATTTATTCAAAGGGGAAAAAACTTACAGATTACCGTCCCAGACAACAGCCCCTCCGCGCGAACAGGAAAGGAGTCCAGGGGCCGGAAACGGAGCCGGAAGACAAAGAGAGAGTGGAGGACAGCCGCTGCTTTTTTTAAAGGGAGAGACCACGCCCCAATGGGCTGGTAACTCAGCGGCGATTGGCTGAAGGAGCTGAAGGAACTCCCACAGCATCTCCCCCTTTTGTTTAAGTAAGAGAGTTCTAAGCCTACTACGCAATTATATACAATAAGTACAAACCTACGAAATTATATACAATAAATACAAATATCCTATTCTAACTAGCTTAAGTCTTGTATAACAAATAACTTGGCCAAGTCATGAAAGGAAAGTAACTACATTTATATAATCTTCAATCCCATCGAAGATCTGAGAAGGGAAATAATGTTATCTGAGTAATTAGGAAGTGCAATCAAACAACTTCCAGAACATGTAACAAATCGCAGAGACAACTGGCTACCTGGACAAACACCCAAAGTCACATTTGCAGCGTTGAAGCAACCAACTTTGGCTAAGGCCTGATGTAACTGACATACCATTTTCAAAGGCAAGAAACTTCAAAACTATCTTACCCTGTCTTGGCAGGATATGACAGTCTTGTTTTATCCATTTACGGATATTCTGTAACTCTGTCAGTAGTTGAGGTATGAGCATTTTTTTACCCAAAGGCCAGTTCTGCCAAGAAGAAAGGCTCCAGGTGGAGTGTCTTTGGTGCTCAACATTCTCTCGGGCATAGATCAGTGTTGCCAGGAGTGATTGTGTCTCCCTACCATAGAACTCTGAATTAGATTAAAGGCCATTTTCTACAGCTCTTTGAAGAGGTTGAAGATTATCTATCTATACTGAATATAATCTCTATATATCTAAAGAACCTGATTAGTCTAATTATAAATGACAAACTTAGATGACTGTTGATCTATATAATTCTCAATATCTATCTAACTTAAAGACTGAGATAATAAACAAGTGTGCAATAAATGAGGACAATGAGACTTCCAAATATAAACAATGTGCAAGTATACATTGCAATATGGTAAATATATATATCAATACATAAACAATATATAAGTATCTTAATCAGAGGTAGAAGTGTACAATGCAATATGGTAAATATACATATATCAATACAATATATATATACAAATACATAAAAATGTTTTAAACAGAGGTAGAAGCATGAAGCATGCATGCATAAAATAGTCAACATAATTTAACTTTGTATCAATATATAAGAATCGATACCAATATGTTTGTCTAAAAGCAATAACTCACAAGTACAAATCTATTTATCCCATAATCCAATTATCCCTCCTTTTTTTTTTTTTTTTTTT